CCTATCTTCTTTTGTATCTCTGTCTCTTGCCTCCTAAAGGCAGATAAAATACTTAAAGACATTGCTTCGTTTGGAACAATCTCTACATTAATAAAACTCTCACAATGGACCAACCTTTAAAAAAATCTTAGGCCAAGTAAAATAAATGCTCACCCATTGTAATCATGAGACAGTTTTTAATTCTTCCTGTTTCAGGTACCCAGTACAGGCATTACTATTGTCTTTAGATGACAGTAGTTTTAGTCTTCCTGCAAATAAGAAGGTTTTTCCCCCTTCAACCTTTTGGAGAGTATTCGTATCTGTAACTAATGGACCATTTCAGGCAAGTACAATCCCCTCGTATAACTAGTTCATTCTTCAGGGTCATGCTAAAACATTTTCTCTTACCTATCAGTCCAGTGGTATAGCCTTGTTGCTGCAGCAGCCTGGCAAACGTTGTTTCATTAGCAGGGAGCCCTCCTGACCCGGCGTTCCACTGCAGTGCCCGGTACCTATTGCTGGATGCCATCCCTGACAGAAACAGCTCTGGTCATTCCTGTGGGCCTTTCGCTGTCTGCCGGTAGAGGCTGGGCTGCTCCTGCCAACCTCCATGTCAGGAGCTAAACCTGAAGCCAGCAGAGAACCTCACAAGATGTAAGGCCAAGTGTATCTTGTAGGCAGTCACATCACATTATCAATAGTGTGTCTTAAGTACTTCAGGTAGTCAAGAGTTACATTAAAAAACCAACTGCTTGGCACCAGTTTTACCATCAAACTGAGAATGAGTTAATGGGGACAGTATACAGTAGGTTTTATTTTCTGCCTTTCTGAGGAGCTGTGATAACTTAGTCTCTCTGCTCTTCATCTAAAATAATATATAATTGTTGCATTTCTCTACTTTGAGGGATGCTGTATCATGTTAGGTGAGAGATAGTTCACCCAACATACACACTAACTTTGCACTTAGCTCTCAAAGTAGGCATTTAATTTTCCTATATAAAGCCTGCGAGAGATGGTTATCTATATAGTCCCCCAAAAGGCACCCTAGGTAGGTGGGGAATGGAACCAACACTCCATTTTCACCAGAGTTTTGTGACTTTCTGCTCTATGTTGGTAATGACCTTGCCCATTTCTCTTGGGATCCCTGTTTCAACCCCTTATCACTAACCATCACCATCAAGAGGAATTCCAGAAGTTTGCCCTAGGCTGCATTGCTCTAAGAAAGCAATAGCTATCACTGCTGTTGGCATTTCTCCATATCTATCCATTTTCACCACACAGGTCTCCCAGATCCTATAGAGTCAGACTAAAGCTCTGTCAGGTGCTGAGGCAGTAGTTCCCGTTCAGAAGTTACTTATAGAAAGTCTGAGCCTCTAGCAGTGTATTTTCTATCTCAGGTTGAGGAAATAGATGAATTCTCCTGTTCCAGTATTTATTGGCTGTCATAGTACCTCAGCACCATGCACAGAAATTTGTAATTCAAAATGGGCCCTACCTGATCTAATGGGGTATCTGCCAGTGAGGAAAGCTGCTCTGCTCGGAGTGCAAAGCGGAGCTGCAGCGATGTGCTGAGTAAGTTTCACTCCTTCTCTTGCCAGGCGGTCAATGTTCGGGGTCCTAAAAAACATTTTCAAGTTTAATAGAAGCAAGGTAATCTGAAACTTATTTTAACAAGTTGCCAAGAAGAAATAGAGCTTTCAAACAGTTCCAGGGGGAAGAAAAAAAAAAAAAAAAAAATCTTCTTTGCGTGATCCAGGACTGATATTGTTACAAGTTTGATATAGCAGGTGAAGTGGGCTGTAGCTGCTGGAGAATTCATTCTCCAGACACAGACATAGAGTGCACTTGGCAACACCAAAAAGAAACCCAGGCGTTGTTGGTACTGTGTAGTTTGAAAATGAAACTGAAATGAAAAGAATTATCTGAGAAAGGCTGATACTTTTCAATTCCAATACTTCCAACAGATCACTTTTGCTGGGCTATTTAGACCCTGAATTTCAAATTTCATTGAGCCAGAAAATCTCACAGGGTGTCTGAAGCCCTTGGAACCAAGACTTTCTTTTCCATGTTTTTAACATGTGCTACTTATTTCATAATATAGTGATATCTTCACATAGTTACATTTGCATGGGAGCCTAGCTCTCCCAGAATAATGGACTAGAACCACATGAAGAGTGAAAGAGACCTCCCCGCATCTTCATACCAGCAGAGGACAACAACAACATTGCTCTACAAGCACTTTCCCATTTCTCTGTACAACCCCACCAACATCACGTGCGGAAGATGTACCCAGAGAATGCCAACAAAATCTCTGTGCTTCACTTCGGCTTGGAGAACATGAGCCGAGGCTTGTAAGTCGTGGTCCCGATGTTTGTTCAGTTCTGCTTTGCCTTTTTTGTTTTGAAGGAATATAATCACTAGTTTTGAAGGCACATAATCACATAATAAATTATGTGGGTCAGTCCACGTAAGTCTGGATCAGAGTGTTTTGGAGGAGACAGCAAGCAAGTGGATGAGAGAGTCTGGAAAAGGACTGAATGGACAGAGTAAGGCTTAACTATGCATGAAAAGGAATGAAGAAATTAATGCATGAGAAGGAGAGAAGACAGTAACTTTAACACTAAAACAAGTGGCTGGAGAGTTAGCACATGGAGGAGGGAGTGGGAGGAATTCCCAGAAAGAACTTAAAAATCAAAACAAAAATACAGTTTTGTGGGGTTTTTTTTTCTTCTCTCACTGCACACCATTTACTTAGGCCCCAATCCTATGTGCATGTATACAAGTACTTAAATACATAGTTACTAGAGCCTTGGATTAAGAGATGAAGAACATATTTTATAATGGATAGGCATTCTATAGTGTTAAAAACATTGTACTGAGAGATCTTTTACCTTATGGTATTGTTCCCATAACAACCTATATCTCCAATGCCAAGATCGTCAGCCAGAAACAGAAGTATATTTGGTTTAGAGTCCGTAGCTGCACTCAAGCCAAACATGTTCCAGAATAAACACGAAGTCAGTGCCAACAGGAGGTACCTCCTGAAACACAACAGAATGACTTTTTATATACATGACTCGTAAGGGTCGGAGAGCAATGGGAGCCCTCTGGCAGCAGATCTGAAGCATGAAACATAAAATAGTGGGAAACTTTATTTACCAGTCCCACTTTTAGTGGGAAGAAGCAGGGCAGAGTTTTACTGGTTCCATTTCTTCTGTCTCTACCATGTACATCACTCTAGTCAGAGGTTGCAATAGCCTTTCTACAGCCCAAGAAACAAGGTCATAAACGAAGGCTGCTGCCGTCTTAGTCATTTGGCCCAGGAATTTTCATCTTGAATCAGCTACATAGATTTCAAAATGTATCAAAAACTCCAGAGAGCTGAGAAAAATCCATCTTTCTAAGTTTTCATGAATTCTATGAAAATTCAGGTTATGTTCCAAAGTCGCTCTGGCATTTTCTGAATATCTTATCTCCAGTGAGTAAGGCAGTTTTAATTAT